ACCGTGCACTCGATTCCAATTTCAAAGCCGACAGGGTTGCTGAAAGTCTCAAGATATCACGAGCCATTTGAAAAGACTCTCAACCACTACTCGAGGAATTAGCCCTCTTTTTCTACGACAAGCTCTGCATGGTGCCGCATTAGCGACCCTTTTCTATGTGGCTGAGATCTGGTACTCTAAACAGACTTCCCAAAAAGCCATCTTGCAAGTCCAACACAGGATGAACGACGCGGCTCGGGCAGCCCTCCCGGTCTATCGTACAACACCAATAGCAGCACTTCTACGAGAAGCTGGCTGGGGCCCAGTCTAGACGTGGCTCTCCCAAATTCACAGTCGTCTAGCGATTCGAATCGCTGCAGCTGATCCGTACCACCCTCTTCGAAGACGATGGAACACTTGTCGCATGCGCCGGATCCGTCAAAAAAACTCACCAGAACTTTCCGAGGACATCATCCCTCCACCGTCGTCGTCATCCCGTGAAGAAAAGCTCATCGAAATTGGAGCAATAGGTAGACTCCTGGGACCAAATCCCTTCAAACAGTGGCAGGCTACACGACCTACCCTAGACTTGTTCTTATTCTTAGACGGAGCTCTAGTAGAAGACAGAGCAGGTGCGGGCTATTTCATCTACCGAGGCTTTACGCAGGAGATTGGGCGAGGATCACACCCGCTCGGAAACTCGACAGAAGTGTATGATGCAGAAATTGCCGGGGTCACTCAAGGTCTTGCCGTAGTTCTTCACAACCTACTGGCCTATTATGCCTCTAATGTTACTGTCTGCCTTGACAACCAGGAGGCTGCCATCCGTCTGCTCTTGGATACGCCCACAGCGTCCAGCTCGGCGAAAATATTAATCTTTCGCAAGCCCACAATGAACTGGAAAAGAAGATCAGGCGGTCAAAATACGACGCCTGGGAAAGTGGCTATCCGATGGTGCCCGGGCCACGCAGGTATTCTCGGGAACGAAGCAGCCGACGCACTTGCCAAAGCTGCCTGTGCGGCTCCAGCTCCACACTTAGAACTCTCCATTGCGAGGGCAAGGAGAGAAGTCAAAGCCCAATACGAGGCTTCAGTCGCACTATATTGGGCAGAAAATGCCCCATCTAGATACAAAGAACTAGGAATTGGCCCTAATACGAAAATCACCGTTGAGCTCGCCCGTCTGGGGCGACGCGCATTAGGATATCTTCTAGCTGCACGGTACGGTCACGGCGACTTCGCGGACTACCACCGACGCTTACAGCATAGAAACGCCATTCTAATCTGCACATGCGGAGAAGAGAAGTCCCCCAACCACTTTTTCTATTGCCACCTCGGGCAATACTAAGCTCAGCTCCACAAGGCACAGAATTCTAATCCCAGCGTATCTTGGGCTCCTGCTTCGGCGGAGGGAGTTGATACATTCAATAACTGGGTGCGTGTCACAGATTTCTTCAAAAGGGCACAACGAAAAGTCTGATTGAAACGAAATCACGATCTGATGTAAACAATTTTCTCCTTTTATTTTTTATTTAGTTTTGTAAAATCTTTTCTTGATTCAGTACCAACTGCATAGCATGAGATTCGGTGGACGGACGACCTCTATGTATACTATAATCTTCGAGCGCAGGATAATAAGATCCTGGCTATCATTTGCTTTGTTGGGTCTGTGTAGGCGCCAACACGTCGGGTACTTTAATTTAGGCTGGCCTAACCGGTACGTGAGGAGCTCACGTGCTGTGCGCGGGCACGACGTTAAATATTATAAAAAAATAAAAACCTTCAAGCTTCTTCCCTACACTTTGGCCGCAGGTCGCGACAGCCTTTAGTGAAGGACTACTATATGTGGCACACCTTTTTTTCTACCGGAGCCCAGTTGCTTTTAACAGGCAGAACTGGGACGGTGTAAATGTTTGGGCTCCTGGCGTCGGGAGCTCTCCGGGGATGGAGGAAGAGTGGCGTGGAGACCTGGCCCAAGGACATAAATTGTGCATTGGCGGCGGAACAGAGTACCAGATCAGTCGCTGCTACGACGGCGCGTAGCCCTTCGGCTTCGAGAATAGGTCGGAGCTCTGGAGGATTTTTTGCTTTTGCAACGGCTTTTGGCTGCGATGGTAACTATGACGCCGCTTTGGGTGCAGCATTCTCCAACGATTTTGATGCGATCGATGGATATTTTAACAACTTTCCAATCCAGTGGGTGAAATAGGTTGGTTGAGGAAAACAGTCGACAATTTCGACTGACCCGGTGTCATGGTCTATGGGGCTTCATATCTTGAGGGAGAATAGGCAGCTGGGACGTGGGACGAACGAGTGAGAGGTCACAAATTGGCATGCTGTGACGTACATTTTTCGAGTATTTTTGACTTAAGGGTGTCTGTGGGCGCAGAGGCAACGATTTAGGATAGTGCAAGCGACACTCTAGAAACTGGCAACGATGCAAGGTGTTTTGGTCCGCCTCCTGGTCGCCATCTCCCCGAATTTAAGTCTGGGTAGCCTGGACACCTACCTCACTCGAGAAAGGGAGGACTGTGAGGCCATATCTCGTGCGGTGGATATATACAAGATGGCAAAGGCATGTTGAGGTAGCCAAAGGTTTTTCCTGTTTTCCATTTGGTGGATATCAACGGTCGAGGAAAGGTTGAGAATCCCCAGCAACAAGGTCTCGATTGGTATCAGCGAATACACCCACTACATGATTAGTCCAAATACCAAACTGAGTTATCGTCGTACATAGCCGTCGATGAAGGACTCGTCTTCTCCGTGTCGTGCTCATTGAGTGCAGGGCTTGTGTCCGTTACGAATAAACATTCATTCATTCTACTGACCCGATCATGTCAGTATCAGGCGTAGACGCGGTAGGAAGAGCTTTTTCCTTCCCTTTAGAAACTACCTGACCTATCTCCGCGCATTTCGAAGACTATGCAAGGCCAGGTGATTTTGCGATAGCCCTCGGGCGGACTCTAGAGTTGTCCAATATTGCGTTTGGATGCTTTTTCAAACAGGTGGCACGATCAGTGTGTGTTTGTGTTTATTGTGCTACTTGAGTCTATGACTATCTAGCACATTGGGCTCCTCTCTGACCCAGGCCACACCTTGTACAGTGCTCCTATCCTCTTTTGTTACTTGAAAGATCATTGATATATTCCCCTTGATGAATAGCCATTCAGCTCAGTATTTATCCGTGGAATTCAGCCACCTTTTCCACGGAACCTTCTACCCAAAAAAAATAAAAATGGTAGCAATGGAAACTGCGTGCGCGGGAAAAAGTCGCAAAAAACCTGCAGCCCCAGCCAGGCGAGGCCTGGACACCGGGACCACATGAGGTGCGCATATCTATCTATATTTCCCTTCTTTGTAACAGTCGAGGCCGACTTGATCCAATCCACCATCTCCGTATCGGGTGCTGGGTACGCTCCGGAAACTCATCGGATGGCTTTTCCTCCGTGATCAAGGTTTGGTGATGAGTAGAGCTCCGACCCTACCATCTGATCTGATCGTGGTTAGCTTCATGATAATGGTGAAAGGGGATGTGTTGAGAGATGAAGACGATACAGACCGCGAAAGCGATTGGGAATCCTCTTCGAAGTGAGGACTTTGTTACTCAATCTCGGCTCTGCAGACTCTACAGTGAGAGCTGGAGGTTCGTAGGAGACACCACTGATAGGTGTTGAGAATAGTCCCTCTATCATAACATGTGCTACCCACCGGGGAGCAAACAAAGCGCCCACGAAACCAAAGAGACCCTTCCGCCTTCAAGAAAAGTAGATTTCGACTTGTCAATTATATCGTCCCTTCTAATCTATACTTCAGAATCTACTAGCCAAGAGGACAACTGAAGTACATGATGTACTCGACAGCCCCACGTCTGTGACTACTTTTGGATGCCAGGCTAGGCTCTTTCATCGCACTCACTTTTGACCTAGACATTTCTGAAATCCTTTCAAGAACTCCAATTTGTCCTGCGGCACAAGTCTTGGAAGCAGTAAGGAGGAGGCTATCAATTAGAATGAAAAGGGTAAATGTCGGTTGGTAATATACACGTGTGCGCGTACGCAATAGGTCTCTCGATGATGTGGTGACTCTTGTTCTTTTTTCTTGGATACAGGCGTGTCAGCCTTAAGGGCGACACGCCAAGCTGCACCAATCCACGTGACTAACTATCAACATAATGTTATCTCTCTCCCGACCCATGTAAATCCCAAAATAGTGTTGCGACGGTAAATAAATTTAAATAATCTGTCCTACAGAGTTGAAAACTTCAATAGAACATAAATGGATAATTAAAATTAAGGTGGCTGTGGAGTTCGAGAAGCGCAATCAGGATTACACAGCTCTGCAGGCCAGCCTGTTTAAAATGGGAGATTCTCGTACCTTGTTTTTTATTTAAATCTTCCCTACAGCTACACACCCACAATTGGCCGGCATTCTGGTAACTGGATAAGGGTTTCGAGACAAATAACGGCTCCCGATAGTGTGTACTCAAACTGAAGATCCGTGGGTGCATTAGCGATGGGATGAAGCCATGAAGTAGGCTTTCTACTCCTGTCCTGTCAGTGGTATGTAAGTTTTAAGCCTAGTATAATGACGTACTTGTTATACGAAGATTTATATTTTACATAAATAGTCACCGTGTCGAAGATAGTTTGATTCTTACACATTTAACATTAAAACAGTATTGTAAATAAGCGATGTCATAGTCGGTGCTACGAGAGTTCACCCAATTAGAATTCATATAATGTGTAAAAGGTCACTGATCATAAGGGTGAAGGCTATATGTAGTTATTATCACATGTTTGATATGTAATTCGTATAGGAAATAATTATGAAATTTTATTTCTCTACGTCATTGAACTTTTTAGCCAACTGCAGTTTCACTCACTAAATTCGGAGTCTTATTGGTCATGACAATTCGTAGTTAACTTGAATCAAAATCAGAACCAGGTTGCTAACAGAAACACCTTTTCGACCCATACTCCTTTTTGCTCCTGTGAATAGACGTTTTTAGGATCTTTAGTTTCCTAATCAACCTCTTCCATCGCACTTTCTGCGGGTACCTCTGCTACCTTCTCGTCGGTAACCATTTCCTCAGCCTCGGGCTCCTCTTCAACATTCAACCCAAGGGAAACGAGCTTGTGGATGCGCTCTGCAAAACCAGCCGGTTCTTCAATCGTGAAACCAGACACGAGTAGAGATGTCTCGAACAGAAGTTGAGTAATGGACTTCACTGTTCTGTCACTTTCCCCATCTGCCTCGACCTTTTTCTTTAGCTCTTTGATTATTGGGGAGCGAGGAGATATCTCGAATGTCTTCTTAGATGACATATATGAGGACATGGATGTGTCGCGGAGAGCCTGAGCCTTCATGATCCGTTCCATGTTGGCTGACCACCCGAATTGACCAGTACGTATAGCGCATGGGGATCCTACTAGTTTATGGCTGACGACAACTTTCTCAACTTTATCTCCCAGAACATTCTTCAGGGCCTTGGCTAAACTTTCGTACTCCTTCTCTTCGGCCTCACGCACCTTCTTCTCATCCTCAGTTTCTTCGAGGTCGAAGTCTTTAGTGATATCGACAAGCTTCTTACCATCAAACTCTTTTAGCTGGGTCATAGCGTATTCATCTATAGGGTCAACAAGGAAGAGCACTTCGAAGTTCTTCTCCTTCAGTGAGTCTAGGAACGGAGATTTGGTGACAGCCTTCAGTGACTCTCCAGTGATGTAGTACACATTCTTCTGGTGCTCTGGCATGCGGGTGATGTAGTCAGTTAGAGAAGTTTGGTCGTCAGCAGATTTAGTTGAGTTAAATCGCAGGAGTTTAGCTAGAGCAGCCCTGTTTTGAGAATCTTCGTGAATACCGAGTTTGATATTCTTGCTAAATGCTGAGTAAAACTTGTCAAACTGTTCTTTATCTTCGGATATCTCTTGGAATAGTTCGAGTACCTTCTTGACAATATTTTTCTTGATGACCTTCATGATCTTGTTCTGTTGGAGAGTTTCGCGAGAAAGATTTAGAGGTAAGTCCTCAGAGTCAACGACACCTTTGACAAAGCTCAGCCATTCAGGAATCAGATCGGTTGCATCATCTGTGATAAAGACTCGACGGACGTAGAGTTTGATATTGTTTTTAGTTTTCTTTGTTTCGAATAAGTCAAAGGGTGCTCGTTTGGGCACGAATAGGATTGCGCGGAACTCAAGCTGGCCCTCAACAGAAAAGTGCTTGACGGCAAGGTGATCTTCCCAGTCGTTAGATAAAGATTTGTAAAACGCTCCGTACTCTTCAGCGTTGATGTCAGAGGGATTACGAGTCCAAATTGGTTTTTGTTTATTCAATTCTTCCTCCTCGATTTTGGTCTCCTTCACCTTCTTTGTCTTCGGCTTCTTCTCTTCCTCTTCATCATCAACTTCCTCGATCTTTGCTTTCTTTTCATCGCCCTCGTCAGCTTTAGCTTCTTCGACGGCATCCTCGTCAGGGACCTCAGTCTCCGTCTCTTTAGTCACGTGCAGATATATAGGGTATGATATGAACTCGGAATGTTTCTTGATAACTTCCTTGATCTTGCTCTCATTCAAATAATCTTGCTGTTCTTCTTTGAGATGAAGAATAATTTTCGTTCCGCGTCCGAGTGGTTCTCCATCAGTGTCGGGTGTTAAGGTGAATGTGCCACCAGCCGATGACTCCCAGATGTACTGCTCGTCATCGTTATTCTTAGAAATAACAGTAACCCGGTCTGCCACTAAATAAGCGGAGTAGAATCCGACACCAAATTGCCCAATCATAGAAATATCAGCCCCAGCCGTTAATGCTTCCATGAACTGTTTGGTTCCAGATCGAGCGATTGTTCCGAGATTATTAACTAGATCCTAAAAAGAATTAATTCTGTAGTTATGATATTGTATATAGACTTACAGCTTTAGTCATCCCAATACCACTGTCTCTGATAGTTAGAGTTTTATTCTCTTTATTTGGGATGATGTCAACTCGAAGGTCCTTTCCCGAATCTAGCTTACTAGAGTCCGCGAGTGACTCATATCTGATCTTGTCAAGCGCATCTGAACAGTTGGAGACAAGTTCACGTAAGAATATTTCTTTGTTTGAATAGACCGTGTTGATGATGAGAGATAGTAGCTGGGATATCTCAGCCTGGAATTCAAATGTTTCGCCTGACATCTTCTCGGCTCGTATCTGTGAACAGGCCCTGGTCAGTGAGGCACGCTAAGGTTTGATGTAAGGCGACCATAAGGGAGGCTTGAGACAGGGAGTACGAACCTTAATCGGAGTTAAATTATAATGCGGTTAAATCTGTGTGACGAAGGGAGTATTCGTGAGTATTAGATCAAGTGTAATCTGAAATGTGATAGCGACAGGTGATGGGGGAGTGGATGAAAATATATACAAGTCTGCCCCTGCCGAAAGTAGTTGGTGTACAGTCCATCGAAGCTCATGGAATCTTGCTGCCTTGCCGACACCAGTCTACAACAGAAACTTAGAATGGCTATATTTAACCACAATCTCCATATCTCATCTATACTGTTTATGAGTCAACAGCAAAATAACCTCAGATGCCAAAATCAATGAAATATATGATCCCAATTAGGTGGAATTTTAAATACAATCAGTCATTCATCATTACATTTTCAAGTGTGCCTTATTATTAAGGCAACTACTTTTTCACTTTCTGCCTTGGACAGAGTCTGTGCACGGACTACGCCGCGACTACTACAAGATTCTTGAACCTTCTACACAACGGCATTTGTAGCCTTACGACTTCTAAGCAATTCGTCAGCTTTCCGCCCATTATTCTTGGCCTCTATTTTCATTTCCCATGCATTTGGGAGCGAGATCTAGATCTGTGCGAACAGATACACTTTTAGATTAGCGTAGCGGGACCCGGCTAGACTGCCAGAACGTGAAAACCCATTTGACAAATTGTGTTAGCAAGGAATCTCGGCTAACAAACCCACAATCATGTACTTAAAATTCGGTCTGAAGTGACATAGAGCCCATACGAGTATAATCTCAAGTAATTGACAACGCGCAACTAATTCCAAAATTGAATGTATGGCTTCGGCGTCCGTGAGATGGCAAGGAATAAAGTCTAAATTTATGGAGGGTTGAATTGAATACAAGTATTTAGGACTTCAGCACACACCGCACCCATTTGATATTGTATTGAGATTCAACTACGTTGGAATTACCTGAGAAATGCCCTGACGAGCTGCCCTACACTGGGCGACGAAACCCTGCAAGTCAAATACAGTCAGACCCCTGTTGAGACGATATTTTTTCCAGAACGGACTTCGTTCCCATACATTTACCGATTACACGATTATCGTTCTTCAACCTCTGAATATCGTCTCAACCAGGGTGTTTTTGCGAAATTGGTGCTACAAATGCCGCCAAAAAAAGGGAATTTCTGTGGAGCAACGATATTCTCTATCTGACGATATTTTTCACGGCCCCGATTACGTCATATTAACATGGGTCTGACTGTAGGTAGCATTGTATTAAGTGGGGTCCGATATTTTGCTTTCCGCTATTAACCGAATGTCAGCTCCAAAAATGCACAGACAAACTTCGTTGTCACTTCACATATGCACAAAACATTCACACTAGCGATGTACTAAATTGAGCCCAAAACTTATGGATTGACTCATATGATTTGATTTGATTTGATTAAATTTAACGTCGTGCCTGTCTACAGCTCGTGACCTTAGTCACGTGCTGGACGGCCCAGTCCCTACAGAACTACCCGACGCTCTAGCGCGCCCTACAGCACCTAGAAACTACAAAAGAGTCCGACCTGCTGTCCGCTACTCTGCTTTCCAATTTAAATGTAGCAAATTTCCCTCTACCCGGGATTTTACTTTTTATTTACAAGTAGTTTGAAATTACTCCCGCAGACTATTCACGCAGTACCAAAAATCTCAAGGGAAATATCTAATGTGCCCGTTGGACTTCCTCGTAGAACTTTGTCAGCTCCACCCATTTTCCGAAGGCGTGTGCCCCTTTAGGCGTGCTGAGGACCCATTTAATACCGGGGCTGGAGTGCCGAGGTCCACCACTAAGGCGAGCCCGGCTTCTTCCTATGCTGCAGTGAAAGAAGTGGTCCGTACTTTTTTCTTCGCCACAGGAGCAAGTCATTAAGGCATCTTCGTGTGTAAAACGCCGATGATACTGTGCGAAATCTCCGTGTCCGGAGCGAGCTGCAATCAACGCCCCAAGTGCAATTGACTCATATGAAATCGATCAGAGCGCTCAGACACAACTGTACAAGCATGTGAGCTACTTGTGTCCGTAACTTCACGCTTCACAAGGCTACCACGTCCAGATTGCTGTGGCTGCTGTAGTTGCTGTACATCACTTACATTTTCAGACTGGCCATAGAGCCTAGTAGATAACGTACCTATATTTTGGGTTGATGTTGTAGCGGTGCAAAATCTGCGCTAGCTCCTTAAGTAAGATCATCATAGTTTGATACCAAAACCAGTTGAGGCAGCAGATAGCTTATTCGATCACACCAAAAAGGAGGACGAAGGCTAGACACCTATCAGTAGTGCACTTCACTGAAATTGGCGTGGAATATTCTCCAATGTCTGAAAATCCGCATCGATAAAGAGTGTATTTGAGAGTTTTCGTCGGGATGGAGATCGGCAGGAGTGGTATTGACAAGTTTTTGGTCAAAAATCCTACCTGCGGAAATTTCATGACTGCCCAACCCAACGAAACCAAAATTCTACAACCCAAATGCAAACTTCAGACAGGCTCAAGACTATTTTATGTTCGTATTAAAACAACAAACAGCCCTCATTACCTCGAATCTTTCTAGAAGATCTTTGCCATGTAAATTCGACTCGCGACCCTCTTCATAGTCATCTCACCACATATCGAAACATTCCTCAGTCCAAAAGTCATACTCGCAATCTAAATTACAGGATGACATCTATCAAATCGTAAATATCGCGCACTGAGAAGGTATGTTCGAAAAACCGGCCTCATATTCGTTAGTACTTCGGCCAAGGGCACCAAAAACTCGACCTGCGACGGGTCGCCACTGATGAAATACGTACAAAGTTTTGCCAGCAGATCGACCAGAGCATTCAACAAAGGCTGACACATCGGCGCCTTGGTCTTGAGCTTTTCGACCTTTATTAGGCCTTCACGGCTAGATGTGCGGCAGTCGTGGGGCAAAACCGGGGAGGTAGATAGTTTACAACAGTTTCTAAGATGACGAATTTTACACGGGTGCTAAGGACAGCTACGATGGAGAGAAAAAGGAGGAAAAACAGAGGAGGCCTCGGTGGGAGACCAGATGAGATTTCCGATTAAGGGAACATCACCTGGATGAGACGAGGGGATGCTGGGATGAGTCATGTCTGAGACTGAGCGGAAAGACATACTAGAGATTGGGACGGTGTAAGCGTCTCGGGCGCGTGGTGGCCGAGGTTAAAGAAGAAAATACGCTCCGGTGCATCAGAATTGGGTCCTCTGGACGAATGGGCTTGACATGATTCAATAAATGGGTGAAGTCTGAGGTAATTCGGTTATTTAGATAAGACGAGGGGCTTTGTACTTATCTGATAGTTGAGTTGATATGTCGTGGCCTGATCTTTATGGCCTGAATAATCTGGCAAATAGCAGAGAGACCAAACGAGATATTCGACCACCCAATATCAAATGAAGAGATCAATTACAAGATCATATTCAAGACCAGCACATCAACTGGAAATTTTTAAATTACTAAAATTAACACTGAGATATTGGGGGACTGTTCTCAACACCTGTCAGTGGTATCCCCTACGAAACTCCAGCTCCTACTGTAGAGTCTACAGAGCCGAGATTGAGTAACACCTAATCAACTTTGAGCTAGGTTATCTCCCACTCTGTCAAAGATACGCTTCCGGTAACACACAAGACGATGATGATGATGCTGGGAATGAGCAAAGATAATGCGGTATCAAACGCTACAACGGTAGTCAGAGAAGCCCTCGTTATATCACAACATGTGCTACCCACCGGCGGGCGAACAAAAAGCCCATGAAAGCAAAGTAAAAGACCCTTCTGCCCTCAAGAAAAGCAGATTTCGACTCGTCTACATTATCGTCCCTACTAATCATAACTTCCGAATCTACTAGCCGGGAGGGCATCTGAAATACATGAGCTACTCGACAACCCATGTCCATAACGGCTTTTGGGTGCTAGGCTAGGCTCCTTCACGACGGTCACTCTCGACCAAGACTTTCCTGATGTCCTTTCACGATCTTCGGTTTGTCCTGCGGCATGAATCAAGGGAGGAGTAAGGAGGAGGCCAGGAAGGTTGAGAGACACCCCCAGATATACACAGATCTGCTGCGCCCGGGTGGCTGGTCTCTTTGTCATAGGAGAGCCCCGCACCCAGTGGTTTTTGAGACTTCTCCCTGCAGCTACATACCCGCCAATGGCCATCGTTTAGTTGGCTGGAGAGGGGAGATAATGACGGGATAACGGCTCTTCTCAGTGTGTACTCGAATGAAGACCTGTGGGGGTATTACTGCTGGAAAGAAATCGTGAAGGAGGCATAGATACCCCCGGCCTGTAGGTAGAAATGACCTACATGTCCTTACATAGTTATAGACTCATTAGGACAATAAACACTCACATTAGCCACGATTTAGAAGGTAAATTCTAGAAATCCTTCATATTACAGTCTCTTATGGATTGAAGATGATAATTTGTCAAAGTGACTGGGGTGTGATCCCTGTAAATATTGATTTGATTGGTTTGGTCCTCATGCAGGCTCATGTCTAGTTCGTCAACTAATTATGGAAGCAAGTATTCTATCCAATAATCTTCTGTGAAAGTTAAAATTAATGGGGGTTTTGAATTTGATTTCAATTAACCCGATCAGGCACCCTATGGGTCCATGCAGGTGACTATCTGCGTTATTTACAAAGGAGGAAACCAATTTGGTGAAAACCCCCTGATCCTGTCTTTTTATGTTCCTATCAATTTATTTGGCTTACCTTCAGGAAGTGCAGTGCACACTGTTCAGCCCGTATGAATTCTATCCTCTCCCCTTCCAGATCTATTTACTTTATCCGACATTGCTACCTCGACTTCCCCTATGAGTCGAAACTGTTTTATCAACCCTTTGTTTAGTATCCACTATGTAATTCTAGCCATATCTTCTG